CCATGCTGGCTGGGGAATTCTGGGAGTTGAAGTCCACTCATCTTAAAGTGGCCAAGTTTGGACAACACTGCACTAAGACAGTCTACTATTGGCCAGTCATTATGGGCAACCTTAGCATCCCCGGATGACACCCAGATTGGTTCCATATATACAAGACAGCTCAAGTTAAGGTCAAAATTCTTCCTTGAATTCTTAATGTGGTCTCAGGTGCCAATTTCCCTCTAAAGGGACGGCAGTCATATTGTAGTTGAGTGTTCCTCAACCTTGGCCATTTTAAGATGTGTGGACTTCAACTCCCAGAATTCCCCAGCCAGCATGCTGGCTGGGGAATTCTGGGAGTTGAAGTCCACACAGTGTTCCTCAACCTTGGCCATTTTAAGATGTGTGGACTTCAACTCCCAGAATTCCCCAGCCAGCATGCTGGCTGAGGAATTCTGGGAGTTGAAGTCCACACATCTGAAAGTACCCCAAGGTTGGGAAACACTGTTGTAGTTTATACTCTGAAACATGGAGGGGTTTTTTTCCCCCTGAGGAGATCTGCAACGCTACTTGCTCTTCCTTCAGGGGAAATCTCACTGAACTCGTTAAAACTACTTTTCAGCGGATACAGATTGGATCTGGCTACAGAAATAGTACATGAAAGATGGATGAAGCTAGTATGAAGGACAGAATGATTGAAATCCTGTCCTTGTGTCCCCCAAGGCAAAGAAACCACACAAATGGCGCAAACCTATCTTTTATGGACACTCGAGTGTAGTATAATACTTTTCCCTTTTTTCTCTAGTCCATAATCTTCATTCGTGATCGAAATGCCCGTGGCCAGGAGGTCTCTGCGTATATTGATTATGCCCATCGTTTGAAGGTGGATGAATTTGATGTCTATTTCAGTGGCAAAAAGAAGCTTTTCCCCAGGCGCACTGATCTAAGGTTGGTGATACATCTTCTGCCCACATGTGAAACTTCAGCAGCTGGTCTGCAGAGCTTCCATTGGCAACTGTGGAAATATTAGAACCTATACTTTCCAGTTAGAGCCATGAAAGGGAATGGATGGGACAATATACTTTGCTTGAGGAAAGATATTTGACAACATAGATGCCCTGGTGGATAAATGTGTCCTCTCTACATACCAAGTTAGCTAGCAGTGAGTCATAAAACTGAGATCTCTTCCAAAGTAGTCCCATAAGCTGTTCTGTAGGCATTTTGGCCAGCGATGTGTAAAGTTCTACAAATCAAAAATAGCTCTTTGAGTTGAATTTAGAAATGTACTTGGAGGCAGTGTTGCTATAAATGGTATAGGCATGAGGATCAAAACAGCTTTGAGATGTTTCATAGCCTGTTTGCTCTCTTTCTCACTTGATAGTTGGGGGTCTACCACTGAATGTGTCAACCAAGTGCCTCAGAAAACATTTTGTTTGAAGGGTGACATCTCCCTATACAGTGTTCTGTCTCTGGTGGCAGTTACACATTTGCAAATTCTTACTCAATGCTATAATCAGCAAATGATGGACAGCCTCAATATATTTGTTCTCGGATTCATCTGCTAGGGTTAAACACTTAAGCCTGGTCTCAAAACCGAATGTAAATAGAAAGTCTTTGCAGATGTTTTCAAAAGAGATTCCAGTCCCAGTTTCATTAAGACTCTGGGGAAAGGGGGTAAAATTTATTAGATAACATGATAGTTTATTTGGCTGATTTAAGGGTCTGCCACAAAATGAAAGTGAGAGGCCCATCCCAGAGAGATATCAGATCTACGCAGATGAGGACTTTTCAGAGTAAAACCATTACCTGAACAAAGTTGAATTGAAATGGAGAAAAATGAATGCAGATGCTGAGGATGGGGTACAATGTATTTCCAGCAACTTCTCCATCCAGAGTTGAAGCTGTAGGTGAAACCTGGGTAGGGGGTTGAGGGAGAATAAGCAAAATAGCACATATGGAATCAGCACATTCATGGTAATAAGAAGACAAATCAAATAGCTCAGTATGTGGAAGAGGTTTGAAGGAGAACTGTATTTTTTCATAATCGGCACTGTCTTGCTAATAGGTTGAGTGTAACGCTGTTATGTTTCCACTTCTCTGCTTCTTCCAGTTTTGCGATGTTACAAATAAAAATGGATGTCTACAGAACTGTAAAGATTAGAGATTGTGGCAGGGAATTACATGCACAATTGTGTACTTTATACCTTCTAAAAAAGATTGCAAAGTTATGTAGACGTTGTAAATAATGGACTTAACAATTAAATATATGAGAAATTGGCAGAGATCAAATAGAAATGCATTCATCTGTCTTTCATCAGCATCAGGACTCCAGTTATTGATCTAGCTTTGTATATTAGCAGAAGTCATTTAGTCTGCTGTCAAAATCCTGCCTTTCTTTGTTGAATGCAAGGACAATATTTCTCCTAGAATAAAGATCTTCAGACTTGGGCACCAATGGATTGGTGGTGTGCATAAGTCAAAACAGTTAGAATCTTTCTATTTGTTGGACACCAGATGACACTAGAAAGGCTATTAAATAGTTGGTGATTCCCATACAGTACAATAAGTGAGAATTTGAATGAATGTTTCCGCTTATTTGTATCAAGATTTGCTTGGCATCCTGTATGAAAAGCTGATATACTTTCTCTGTTGGCGAATGCTCCCAGGTTATACATCCAGCTGCATCATCACAAGCTGTATTGGCAGAGACAGGCATGGGGGGGGGGGGGGGGGCATATGAAAGCATT